GAATGTCGGCAATACCTCGGTCTTGACCCGAATTCAATACTTTCGGGTAGATGCTCCCTAAACGAGCCATCTACATAGGATTGATTCTGTAAAAAGACAAGCTTTGCTGGAAGAGATTCATTGCTGTCTACAAAATTTCATATTATTTTGTATGTACGTCAACATAAATAATCTAAAGATCCGTCTATAAGAGATGGGACAAATAACACAATGGGTTAGGTATAAGTTATTGCAACTTATCAATGCCTTCTCCAAATACATTTTTTGAAATACAATACAAATATACAGTTATTGTTACAATATTTATATCAACATCAAGACCAACACGAAAGAAGTCGGTACAGTGAAACACTTTATCTGTTTGGATTGTGTGGTGACTATAAAAATATTTTACATAAATCATGAAAATTAATCAAAGAAAATTATATAAACATGTATAAGGGTGTCAATAAATTATTTATAGTTCATTCTTGGAATTAGGTCACTGGCAAGATTTGCTCAATATTTACATCAAATATCGATATAACTTGAGATAATGCCTGGACAGAACGCAAAACCCACAAAATCCTGGTGGGGCGTGTCGACAAATACCATTTCACGCAACTTGTACAAGTGTGTACGTTGTATAGAAATTCTGAAGAAATCATTGCTAGCAGTTATGTCTTACTTACGATTGGGTAATTCATGGATATCCATACATAGTGAAAATAACCAACATAATCATTATATGTTACAAATTCTACAGTACATACACCTTAACGTTATATTTCATCATGTATCAATTATCTGATAGGAATTGAAAATCAGGAGATGTAATTAAAATTACTTTAAGTCGTCATCAAATCAAATCCATCACTCCTATAAATACAATCTCATTGCGAAAATCATTTAATAATGCACATATCAACATTATAGAATACAAATGGATTTCATCACGTTTACAATTGGAAATCACTTGTCATGTTTCCTGATGGAATCGATTTGACCTCTCAAATGCCTTTAAAAGCTAATTATTGTTTCTATTGCTGCTTGGTAACAGAAATACACCATCAATCAATATTTGCCCGGATATACGTGGGAAATCTTTTGTAAGTCATTCCTTCAGTTAGTTAATAATTAAAACACCCTTCTTTGTTAATACATATCCGCATTTAAATGTTTTATTATCTGACCTTTGCCCTTCATATACTGATATGAATGTTCTTTTCTGAGCTATAATGTATGATGTTTGAGATATCTACATCAATAATTTAATAGAAACAAGGCATATTATTTATATTTATATATACATGGGGGTGGGGGGGTTGTTGTTGTTTCAAAATTCGGTTCTGAATTCGTATACCAATGTTGCAGCCAATAGTTTATCAGACAGCCACGAATAGATAGGATTAAAGCAATAGAAAATAGATAAACACATTCCAGCTGAGCGCTCCAAGAGGAATCGAGCCCAGATATCCAGTGCGATAATCCACTGCTCTACCAACTGAGTCAAGAATCATGAGTATGTTTTTTACTCTTATACCAGCCACACTTTCTGACCCGCGTCTGTTGCATAATGATATAAGTAATAGTATATATATATAAATACACGAAACAACTTTATAGCGTTGATATTTACATCCTGAAGCAAAATTACAAACAAAACAAACTAGTTTGTTGCATGAAATTTCGCTAAAATTGCACAGGATAACAATCATTTTCTTGCTACGGACTTTTATTTTGAAGAATACTGTCAAACATTTACAAAAGACACGATTGAATTGCACTTTTTATACAAATTTACAATTATATATTACAGTAGAACTAAATAATGAATCAAAATGCAACACACAGCTATTTTGTCCTTGTAGCATTCGTCTGGGATGTTAAAGATCTTAAAGCTGATGGTCGGTTTAAGGGGGTTAGGTGTGGTGGAAGAAAGCCGTAGTTCCCGGAGAAAACCATCAACCTGTGTGCAGTACATGACAATTGTCCCAGGTGGGTCTTGAACCCGAGATCCAGAGGTGGAGGACATCAGATATAGACGGTCAGACTTCACAAGCACCCAACCACCGCTGCCCATGTTAGTGTTGAAATGATTAATAGCTGTATAACCAATATAGTGACCATTTAATATTATATTTTACTCTGGCCCGAAAAAGTCTTTAAAAATTGATATTTGTAGAAGTGCTTGGATTTCTCCTCTGTAAGACACTTACTGTAAATGATGCTATATTCGAGAGCTTCTAATTTCCAAGTCAGAATGAAATCGCGAAAAGAACAATATAAGAGAAGTGAATAATACATTTCCGAACATCCGCGATAAGCAGCTCTTAAGCTTGAAGCTTTTAAATAGTAACAAAATGAACCGAAGAAAAACCAAGGAAAAATAACTATACATTATTTCAACGTACATTAAATTATGTCATTTGTACCCAAGATATTGCGTTATATTAACGATAGTTATTTCTTTCAGAAGAACCTAATTTAGGATTAGATACAGAGCCAATAAATGATATAAATAATAATAGATTAAACTGCACTACACAACTGTTTTGGTCTCTTGGACTCGTCAGTGATGATGATGGCCTATTTTTCGAATCCAGGAAAGTGACGGAGGCAACTCCAGTGAAAATGTAGATGTACATGTGAATATTCTTCACCGTGCCACTTTCTGATTGAATACAAACATGGCATGCAGTTAACGTCAAACCTCGGGGTTAACAGTACACAGCAGTGTTTCTCCACTACCTTCTGTCTCTAAGACTGTACAAAAGACACATAAATCTCCTAATATTCAAATCATCAGATAATTTCTTAGGAATTTTAAGTATTCTTGTATATTCTGAAGTGATCCACTATCATTTATATAGAAAATGGTTTACAATATTTCTTTTGTACACCATCTTTTCAACTTTTTAACCCATACGCTGGTTGTATTGGTGCGGAAATGCTTCGTTGATTCTTGGAATTAAACAAAAATAAATAATAGATAAGCAATTAAAATCTGGAACGAACAATTGGCGTAGTATTGGTGCAATTTAACAATTAAACTAATTCATTTTATCTTACTTAACCATAAAAGTGTAAAACGCTCTCAAAAGATGTGTTACATTAGCAAAACTTTCAATAATTATCTCCCATCGGCAAAATTGTCTTTTATATTTAATATCAAACTCCGAAACAAAAAAAAAGACTGAAGTCAATTTAAGTCTTTTGTAAAACTTTGTTATCACTAGATACTATTCACCCGAACTTATCTTATTTATTTTAATTTTTTTTTCATTTTACCCACGAAAAAATGTAATATTCACTCAAACTTTCACCTCACCCCATGAACACATTTTTTCGAAACCCATATCCCACATCAGTTTACACCTGTAAATATGTATATATAAAACCACAACGAAATTCGGCATCATTCCGGTGTACACAAATTCCCCATACTATTATTAACCCAAATCAATCATGCATCTATTCCACATACACATTATCCTTAGGTATTGAATTTGGGTTCAGAATTAATCCATTATCATTTACATCGAAAGCTTCCAAAAGCTTGCAATTTTTTTCCTCACAGCACGTTTTGAACTAGTAAATCCATACGTTAGTATTAATAGTGCAAAAACGATTCGTTGCTACTTTGAATTGTGATAACAATGAACTAAATGATTGATAAGCTTTGTAATTATCCATTTTGACGAGTTAGTGGTGTTATATTGATGCAATTAAACAAGGAAACTCATCCATTTTATATCAATGATGTTATTGAAACGTCAGAGTCATGCAATGCTACTTATTATATCAGCACTTAGTTCATATTTAATTATTCTTTTCTCCTAGTGTATTTCTACCACATGACTTTTGGCATGAATGAAAATGATACAAATGAGATATTCCCATGACACAAAGGAGGTCGTGTCTGAATTACAACATTAATGAAGGCCCTTTCTAATGTTTCTTATCTCAATTAGGTTTTAAAAATGTACAGCAAACTAGGACTGTCGTCCGGGGGGTAAATACATACCCTACTCTCACACGTTATTAAAGGGGCATAGCTTTTCAAAAAAGATAGATACACTTTGGCTCAACCTGATATAGATAACACACATCTGCAAAGTATAAGTAATATAACCAGCAAATATTGAAATTAATTCAGTAGATTAGGAGTAGCCAGTGCACCATTGCGTCTACAGACGGACGGACAGATGGACAACCTCTGGGGTATGATAAACGCAAAATGAAACGACAGGAGTTCCATTATTCCTCATATGTAATGATAACGAATATAACGTTATTCTCATCTTGTCTAACCTGAATACATACGAATATGGGCAAACTGATGTTGACACCATCATTGTTTATATTCTGATATTATACAAAAGAAACAATGGCACTGACAATACATATGATCCAATATGAATGTGATAAATGAAATTTCCGAGCATCCTGAAACATACCTTCGTACAAACGAGTGAAATTAGCATGAAGATACATACTATTTTCTTATAGTGTTCATTTCGCATCACCTGAATGAGTGTGTCTGCATATTTATCAATGTAATAAAGTTATTCCATTCTGTACTGTAAAACAACCAGTGACGGTTTGGTTCTAATGTCTGTCTGTATACTTGTTTATAAATTGATGTGTTTGACTGACTTTACATAATACGGTACCATACTGTTTTAGCTATTAGAACACGAAAGGACTAAAAAGGCGATAAATCATTTTATCATAAAGTTGAACAATATAAACACACTACGTAAGACTTAGATTTCAGATTTCTTTAACAAAGAACGATCAATACTAAAACAGTTTAATACAGTCATCACGCACACTCATATCAAGCAATTAAAAATAATTTTATTGTTACCAATAAAAACAACCAACAATTAAATTAAAACAAGTGTCTCTATGACATACAAATCACAAATATCTTTTTACTTTCTCATTTTTGCGATTTCCGTATTTTTTGGTATTCTTTTATCATGGGAAGCATTTAATGATCAAATCTTAATAATTTATTTCGATACAGAAATATGTGTCGCATAACCGTTATTTACATACGAAACAGGATCTGCATCAACATCGTTGTTCGAGCTAATAAGTGTCTGATTAGAATCTTCTTCCGTTCCTTCGGGTTGAAATTCCATTCTCAGATATGTTCCGTCTTTCGACATGTCGCCAATATTGTCACTACTACAGCTACCACGCATTTCCATGTAGCCGTCCCCTAAAGATTCGGTTTTATCTGTGGGCAGATCAACAACATTTGAATATTTTAACATATCAGCCACTCTCAGTGATGCGTATGGATTGTCATCACATTTCTGTCGGTCTTGTGGGTCTCCATCACATTGATGATTGGTTTTAGGTGAGTTGTCATAATCTGATGTAAACGTTGACAGTGAACACGGTCCTAGCGAATCGTAAGGATTCGGTTCGGTGACAGTTGTCCTTGGAAACAATTCATTACTTCCTTCATTTGTGTCACCCGTCCAAGGTCTATTGTTTAGATGGTTATAAATCCTGTTGTCAAACTGGGCTGAACCATCGAGTCTTTCTTTGGACTTCCAACTGAAACAAGCAATATGTCAAACTCTTACCAATATACCTTGTTACATGTACAAGGTAAATTCAAAACTTCGAAATAAAACGTATGTTTCTATGTTTTCATTGCAATCGGACCAGAAAAAAGTTCGAATTAGCGAGAAATTCGACATGTTAAAGTTCGAAATAAGTATGGTAAAATTACTATAATTATATAGTAAAAAAATTCGGGACTTTTTAAAAGGTTCGAAATAGCGAGAAATTCGAAATATTGAAGTTCGAAATACCGAAGTTTGACTGTAATTGGAAACCGGGAATACGAGAAGGCCACAGGCGTTTTTTCTCTAAACGTATTCGTATCTGATCTGTTGTATCTGTCGCGTGAAAATATTATTTATTCGCATCGTATTTAAATGTTAAGATTATAATTTTCATGGACTAACCATACTATCTATATACTTATAATATATCCATTTACAAACTATAACAAATATAAATTCACAAAAGAAAGTAACGGAAATATGTATGTAGATCTCATGCTTTCATTATTATAACATATAGCATGGCTTTAAAGTAATGTACACGATATTATCAATGACCCGAATATGAATTATATGCAGATTTCTTTAACCTTGCATCATAATTAGTTGTATTCTTGAGGACAATAATATGATTGAAAGTTGAAAATGATTGCTTGCTTTACTAGTGATATCTTAACATTGTATACACTAATATTTTAAAATTACTAGTAGGCTACAGCTAAAAACATTTACATGTACTTCATTCAAAGTATCTGGTGCTGAAGGAAATCTATATTTTCTACTTACATAAACGTCATCGTTTATGCATGAAAGCCAATTTCCGTCGTCAAACTGAAAACTTATTATAATGATACTTTATAGGAGGCCTGGTCTACGGTTCAGGCCTGATAGAGTAAGACCTGTCGAACTTCAAGTTATCGGCTACCTTTGGTACAAAGAACAACACAAAAATACCAACATGCCAACAGAATAACAATCCAAACTCAATAAAGATAGGGCAAGATAAAAAGGAAGAATTACACGGATACTCCTAAAAAGTACAAGTAGAATAAGACCAGGTGATCCGCAAAAGTAAGCACCTTCTGCTTCATCGACAACACCAGCCATGTCAATCCTAGTAAGTAATGTCATGTTCTTAAATAAGAATAAGATATATAACAACGGAATCAATTAGCAAACTACGTAGCGTCAAACACGCCCACCATACCTCAATGAGATCAGTATGACAACCGCGAAACTTATAGATTTCAATGTAATTGATGCGAGTTTCAGGCATTTATTACGTATTCATTCAGTAACGTTTGTGGAGTAGAAAGAGCAGGTAAATTTCATTACATTTAATTATATATATTTTTTGAAATAAGACAACGACTCATCTGATCAAGATATTCCGTTTTTAGCAGCAGTTATGCCTCGAATTTTATCCTTCCGTCGAAGGAACACTCAATAACATAAAGAAAGAAATCAGATGAATTATAAATGGGGATATGCATGAAAAATATACCTCCTCCTGTAACCACCATTAGAGATGCAATATGAATTAATCACTTCCAGGTGAAAGGTAAAAATATTTTACATACGCATTCCAGTGATTACAAAGAATTGACTCAAAATAAAAGTATAAACATCATGGTATTTTATTACTTTTAATGTCTTGCTCTTACCTTCTCTTAACGATGATGACGATGACAACGATTATCAAGATGAAAACTAAAGTTAATGCCACTACAAGGCCGATTGTTAAGCCTGCAATAAATAAATAGATCAAAAGAATAAAAATAATAACATTATTCATAAAAGAAATCTGCTGTGTTTTGTTTTGGATAATCGGTCAGATTCGCTCTCGAATGTATAAACTTACTTAAAAATGTACATATATATTCTTATAGTTTGATTTATGAACTATCGTTTGATACTGTATAATCATATATGTATTTTTGTTTGGCTCAATTTTCATGGTTTTACAACAATTTGCATTTTCGTCAGCACTATATTTCCTGGGTAATCTTACTAGGCCCACTAATACAAAAATCGATGGATATCTTTAGGTGTACTTCATTTCACGGGAAAGTAAATTTGTGGATAAAGAGCATTTACGAATTCAACGAAAATAAAGGCCCACGAAAATTAATGATCTTAAGTTGTATAAAGTAAAACATACTACGTACTAATATTCATCACTCGTTAAAAATTTGAAAATTTCTGTATGGCGAGTGGTTCATTTTGATTCTCGTTGCTTCAAATATCACATTTATGTTGACTAGTTGCTCGTAGTTCGATCATACGTGTAAATATCAACAAGGAAGTAAAAAGGTGTCTCTCTATAGAATGTTCAGCATAGAAGGCTAGATTCAAAAGATTGCTAGTGAATTTTTAAAAAATGGCTAATTAGAAAGATCATGAAAGAAATATCAACTACAATTGACATTGTCCAGTGAATTTGGGTACTATTACTTTGTAGAAAATGTCAGCAGTTGGATTTGACAATTACTATACACGATATAAGATGAAGCTTCTGATTTAATATATATTGGAGTTACCTCCCATTGCGTCGCCCTGTCAACAAGAACTAGACCAGCGATGAACTTGATCTCATTTACATGTTTATTCAAATAAACGACCTTGACCTCTTTATTACAATTTGATTGATTTAATGTCATACCAATGAACCACAATATGCGAACTAAGGGTTACACACGTAGTCTTGACAGTGTGAATCCATCACGAGTTACATCCCCTTTTAATAAGATGAGTTACAACAGTAATTTTGTTATCTGATATATTAAGAATGATACTCGTTAACACATTGATATTCAGCATTAATGTATAATCGAAAATGGAATGATTTTAGAAAGACATACCTTGTGATAGTGTAGCTTGTCCGATTTGTTGGCCTAAAATACAAAAAAAAATAGTTTCTGTCTTTTTCAAAATATCCAACATAATTAGTAAAATCAGAAATACCAACAGTTTAGATGTTAGACATCGACATCACAGCTGTAATAATATTAAATAACCAAATAATATGCAATAATCACATATTTCACTGATATGGCTCAAGAACTAGAATTCTGTTCTTATGTATCACTATTTCAGTAATATTTTTTGTCACATTTTTGAGCAAGCACTTAAGATGCTGTTCATACTATGCAAGTACATAGGAATATTCCAGGTATTGATATAGCTAATTATCCCGATAGGTCTGCTGAAAAATATTCAGTGACAAAATGACTCATATCGCCTTGGCCTGGTTATACAACTAGCAAAGGCTAGGAAGATTTTAGAAAATTAAAAAGTATATAAAAAACAAATAGCAGTAAAGACGTAACAATTAAAGTCAAAAAATAAGATCGGGGTAATTTTGGTAAAAAGTGCGAAATAATTTCCCTTTATTTAAAAAAAAAGCGGACGAGCAAATACACAAAAATTATCATATATATGGCATGAATATATCATGAATAGATAATCATCAAATAAATATTGATTCTATATCCGGAAGTTTTTTAATTTCATCTACATATTATATTGCTGTTGTGTCAGCGTCATATGGTTTATATGTTATTGTAGATATGATTTTGATATCAGCAAATTACCTGTTTCACCTGTTGTTGTCATCGTCGACGTTGTTGTTGTCGTTGGTGTTGTTGTACTCGGTGTTGTCGTCGTTGTAGAAGTAGTTGGCGTCGTTGTCGTTCTTGTTGTTGTTGTTGTGGTAGGCGGTGTTGTTGTAGTCGTTGGTGTTGTCGTCGTTGTAGTAGTAGTTGGTGTTGTCGTCGTTGTCGTCGTTGGTGTTGTCGTTGTAGTCGTAGTTGGTGTTGTTGTTGTCGTTGTCGTCGTTGTAGTTGGTGTTGTTGTTGTCGTCGTTGGTGTTGTCGTGGTCGTCGTTGGTGTTGTCGTGGTCGTCGTTGGTGTTGTCGTTGTAGTAGTAGTTGGTGTTGTTGTAGTGGTGGTTGGTGTTGTCGTCGTTGTCGGAGTTGTAGTAGTGGTCGTTGGTGTTGTTGTAGTGGTGGTTGGTGTTGTCGTTGTCGTTGTTGGTGGTAGATAAGTCGTTGTTGATGTCGTTGTTGATCCCATAGCTGTCGAAATATTAAAAAAAACATAAAGAATATATATATATATATATTCTGCTACTGACAAATACAAAATATGCCTATAAGCTATCTTATACCACTCTTTTGCTTTGAGGCAAATTCACAGAAATATTTCAACAACTTAACTGATGAAATAATCTTTAAAAAGATGTTAAAAGTAAATCGTTACGTAAATAAACCCTCCTGACAAGGATTTCTCTATAGAATTTGATATGAATAAATTATTTTATCTCCTACTTACCGTACTGGCAGATGTACTGATATTTCACTTGAGCACTATTGCAATGGTCTTCCCGCCATTCCCCATCAGAAGTCCGAACATAAGCACAGTCCTCTGGACATAATTCGTTAGTGCCAAAACAATATACTGGATAACCAATGTCCCAGTTGTCGTAATTCCAACCTTCACCTTTGAAATAAAGCACATAAAATTATTATTCCAGTTGACCAAGGCGCAGAGAAAATAGAGTTCTTATCCAACTTATATCATTACTGACTATAATATAAATGAAAACATTTGTATTTATAAGTACATATTTGATTTCGCGTTAACGAAACTTCCCTGTAAACTCAATACCAATATGTTATTAAAGATGACTGAAGATTGAATGCACTTATTAGGAATATGTTTTAACATCAAAGCTTAAGTTTATTCTTATATTCCTCTATTTTGTCTTATATCATTATGTTATAAAAGATTTTTTTTTCAATATGGCAATTTATGAAGATTGAATGCACTTATTTTGCACGTTTAAACCTTACTATCTTTTCTATCCAGCACCAATAAAGTATAGAAAAAGTTAATACATTTTTCAAAATAACTGATAAATAAATCATTATTTTTAATGCTTAAAATCTAATGATTATAAAGTAGAAAACATTTTCCGGTGAAGTACCTGTCACCCATTTCCAAACTTGCTCAGCGTCCCTGTCAGTGAAACCTATCCACACCTGATAAGTGGTACTAGAAAAGGCAACAGTTGACATGATGAAATCATTTGTAGCCTGATCCAAAATTACAACAAGATGGCCGCCATTGCTGGAGGAACAAACTGCATTAGCTGTATCCCACGTGACTGCCGAATCCACATACCGGTAACACTGACCATTATATGTGTACATGGTACCAGACAAACCAGACGGACATCGATAGAGCTCGGACGAGTGGACTGGGACTGTAAGGGAAAAAACAGAAACATTACACAATAGGTTTTGTGCATGTGTTTCTCTTAATATTTATATTAACAAAACGATTACATGAAACAGATTTGTTTTCTATATTCAATGAGGCTCAAGAAAGAAGTCGATACAGGCAAGTTCAAAAGCAGAAAACCTAGAAGGGGAAACCAGATATAGATAAATACCTGTACATGTACAATTGTTTATCCTAAATATCATAATACAGATAATTAGCATTCAAAGTTTAAAATGGGAGATAATTTAAATAACTTGTATAACATATGGCGATGCATACTTTAACATTTCGTTATCATATGCTGTAAAACCTGGAGTTCAATTTTCTTACCTATTTTTCGATAAAAACTGCTTCGTGGATAATCTATTTTGGTGCATAAGTATAGCTCAGTAAATCTACTTATGCTAATTTTAATAGCTCACAAACATTCATGGTTTGTGTATCCTCGACATCCATGGCAATAAAGCTATGACTACGAAGATAAGTTTGTATACAGTATGCGGTGGATGTCTCGTTGGTAATAAAAAAAAGCAATATCATTGTATTAGAGGTCATTGGTAATAGAATCATCAGCAGAAACTAGGTCACGGAGTCACTCACCTGATTGTTATTCTGTGCTTTACATGAAAACTAGCATCGTGTGAATAGTTAATAAGTACCCGGCATATTGTGTCGGTTTTCATGATTTGTGTACGTAAATGGTCAGTATATGTTATCATTAAGTATCAGGAAATAAACTGTTGAAAGGGTTTAAGTAAAATTATGTTAAGAAAACAAAACATACAACAAAATGACTTGGGTACAGATAGCTGGTACACAATGGGTATATGGCAGAACCTGGTGGTAAAGTGTTTCTCCCATTTAGAAAGGTAATGAATTTTGAGACGAACATCAGGAATGTTATATCACATGAGCAATAGAGCATTCATTTGTAAATGTACAGGTCTGTGTATTCTCTAGATAGAGTTGAAGAACTAGTACTGTGAAGTTATATTCAGTTATAAGTGTATCTTCAAAATTAAATCATTTTCATTACATTAAGCTTTATCGCCCGTCTATGTACACGTGAATAATGATACTTCCCTGTAATATACAGGCCACTTGCAGTAAAGACTGGACAACAAATCACAGTAATGATTTTATCAAAATTAGCTTCATCATACATAAACTTACTCAATATGTTTAATTCTTTAAAATTTGTAATTCTGAAAATCTGAACTGATGTATATTTTTCCAAAAGTATGACGTTTAATAGTTTACACTCCAATATCTTGATAAGTTGGACACAAGAAATGATATGAAAATTGTCACATATACGTTCATTTCTGTCTATTACTAACAGTTCAGGGACTTTTTCCAATATAAATTTCTCACACGTAAAAGTACTGCCCATTCAACCGTAACACCGTGTCTGACCTAAATCTGTAGACTACAACACACCATAAAATCGTGACTTTCAACGAGATTTGAATGGTGCAATGTAAAATGCAAATTGTTGATATTTCTTGTTTGATCAAAGTGATGTAATCGTTTAGCATACAACAGTTGAAAGGGAAATGTGTTCTTGCCTTAGATTCAGACACAATTACTGTTTCATCATAATGTATGATATATGTAATCTGTCTTTAAATATGACTATGTACATTATGTATATGAAATATAACACCAGACATCCACATCTCAGTCATAAAATACTAGAACATGTGGCTGTATAACAATAAGGACATAGCTTTATGTCAATGACGATGTAAGATAATACTGTAAATAGCCAATAAACAGATTAAATCGTCTGATTTTATGGATGGTTTCCACACGTATCCTCCCATACTATCAGGAATATGTTATCTCCTAACCTGGATTTTATTCATAAGATACCATAAGAGACAATTACAAATAATCATTTTTTTAATAATCCCTTCACCATGACTATCAATAGTTTACTTCAAAATTGTCCATTGAAGACATGTATCACTGACGAGCCCTAGAAGAACGAAACAGTTGTAAGATGTACTTTTTCTTATTATTTAAGAAATGTTATCACTTGTCTTTTGTGCAATTTTTTTAAAATTCAAAATTAGGATTTCTTCTAAAGTTTATCATCAATTATCAAAATAATGCTGTCCTTTATGAAACAAAACTCAATTATACACATGATGTACAAAAGAAAATTAAAATCCACAAAATCTAAGAAATAGACAAAATTTAATCATAACTAGATATTAGTAATGTTGATTTTAAAGTAAAGACATTTTTATATGACGTATCCCAGATTATTCTGAAACTAATCAATAAGACATTGGATGTAAACAAAACGATTTTTAAACTGTCCAAGAAATTATTCTCATAATGTCTATCTCTTCATCCCTTGCCTTTTGTATGTAAGATATATTCTTCCTGGTACAATGATATACCTTAGAGGTGGGCGAATTAGAGAATCAGGATGTAGATATGTGTTAAAGATTTACGTGGACAATTTGAATATGGGAAGTAGCTGTGATGTGTATGTGGAATGCGTCAGGTAGATATCATAATCTATTTATATCAATGTGCAATATGTTGCTGTACATGATGAAAATTTCCATGTGATATTCATGTCGTTTTTCCTGCTTAATTCGTATGACTTCCAAACCCGTTTTACTAAATAAAAATTTACATACCTGTATATGTTCATTATTTTTGTCATGTTGTTGAATTAAATTGCGGAGGAGGGGACTTTTATAAAGTGTTATAATTTATGTCCAATCCTCTTACTTGGTGAAGAAGCAGGACAATGTTTAAAGTATCGGGAAATTATGACACTTACAACCCCCAAATCAGGATCGTATTTTTTGTTCTACGTTACAATGCTTTCCTGTCCTACACATGACAACAAATCCCCTTGTATTTCTAAATTTCCCTTTTAGTACAAATGTCAGAATTTTATACAATACTTTTTTCAAAGACACTCATTATTAGACATCGGACCATAAATTTTTAGAATCTAGCATGCAATGTGGGGAAATCGAAATGGACCGAAATTGATGTCATAAACATACATTATAATGTATACTCGCACACACCATTCAGTTAACTTCATATATTTTCAATGTAGCATTGAAGTTAAGTACAAATTGTTATTATTATCATTATCATTATTATTATTATTATTATTATTATTATTATTATTATTATTACAGTCTTAACGGCCCGTCAACACATAAAAGGTGATTAGGGTCATCAACCGGTAAAACACACAGCGATCAAAAAAGGACATAACATCACACAAACTAAAAGGTTATAGATAAATGCTAAAAAATTAAAAGGTTATATTATCACAAAAGATTAAAATTGTAAGTCATAGTCTATAATACAGACCGACATCTTTCAGATAATGTATTAATTTATAGACATAATGTCAATGCATTCCAATAAAAGATGTTTAACGGTGAATGGCTCATCACATCCTATGCACCGAGGATTATCTTCGCCTTTTAACATATACGAATGCGTAAGGTATGTATTGCAAAAGTGTATAAATTTAACCAGAAATTTCCATCAACAGGTAGATTTTTTAATCGTCTGAGTATGAAAGATTTTACATCGTCAGAAAAACAAGATTATCTAGTATATTATACATCAACAGGTAGTGGTACCAGGTATTTTAGAAAAATAGGAATTTAACGTCGTATATACAAATCTATATTTAGATACAACAATGTACTTTATATAACAATTATGATAGAACGTATATTTATGTCGAAATAGAACGAGTATGACAAGTCTAGTCACGCGTCCATTGTGCATGTAAAGTATATGGCTTAAACGTTTAAAGCTTATAAATGGGCGTAACCTGGCGATGAAGTGATGAGAACACTTGTCGATGTTAAAGGGGCTAATATGATTTCAGTTAAATCATTGTCATTGAAATGCTAGTCTATACATTATACTGATTTGTCTGTCTTTCGTCCTCGGTTTTCATAGTGAGCTATAATATTGATTAATAAAGAGGTTTATGGTTTTGGAGTGGGGGTGGGGATGGGGTTTAGTGGGTGGGGGGAGGGGGCATGAAATTAGCTGATTTCAAGTTTTATCAAACACACTGATAAACACACATTGTTTCGGTTGTACTTGAGACAACATTCTTGTCTATACTACTAGCTATCCTGAGTGATGTTTTCATAGACAAATATCTACACATGTTATCAATACATCTAGGTAATCGTTCAGTTTGATTAAAAATCAATTTGAAACAAACATTTTATATATTTATAATATTTGACAATTCATTTTAATTCAGTTTCTGCATATAGGCTGATCAGAATGGCCTGAAGCGTTTAAAAGCCCCGCCCCCTTTCGATTCCTATCTTATTTACAGAGGAAATAATGTTTATTTATCAGATAGAAGTTATATAATAGATGGAATAGTTAAGTAGTGTTTGATGTATAACGTGTCCGACACGATGAAAAGACAATCAAATAGATATACCAGTAATTGATCTTCCCAAAGGAAAATTTAGACCCACTCCAAACTTATTATACATGTATTTAAGTACTTTTTAGGCTTAATGTACTCAGTACATACAGCCTATTGCGACGGCCTTTCAGACAAAATTTACCGATCCTGGCCTTCTCATTGGCTGAAATATCGAAAAGAGTTAGAGCCCTCTAGCGGCAATTAACCTAGTCTGCAAAATACAATGAAAACTCTATCTCTAGTCTGGGTTTCAAATTGGATTTCTAATATACACTAGGATAAGCGAATATGTATGTAGTATTTTACGTAAAGATATTTACATATTTACAAGCGCCTTCGACAAGGGCGCGATGTTTTTTCTAGGTAAAGAAATTATAAAGCACTGCTGACATCTTCAAGTGAAACATATTGCACCTAGCATTTACAAAGATTGTTCAAAAGACATGCAATGGAGGCTGTTAATACTAATTTGGCAATAGATACAGTACAAATTATGATTTAAACTTTTTTTTTGTTCATATAGGATTTCTTAGTGATGCTAGGGACCTAAAGTTTGATACCAGGAAGTGACTGAAAAACACATGACCGAAAAGAATATCAAAATACAAATGGGAGAGTGCACCTGCCACATCATCCAATACATTTTATCATTTTCGTACATGTTTCAAAGGTACCAATATCCATTGTCACGAACATCAAGTGATGACATAACGCACTTGAATTTACCTAGATTTAAAATTCGGTTACCTTGATGAAGCGAAAAATGTTTACTCTCTAGAACACCTGGTCCTAGTCTACTTGTATTTAAACTGTCAAGCTTCACATAAATTTCTTTTGTTTTGTTCACAATTCGTCTCCTTGTCATTTAATATTTTGTTTACATGTCTACGTAAACGGTACTTTTTTAAGTAACATGAAGAACACAAAACAGTAAACATCTTAGCAGATTATTTGATGTCAGCAATACAATACTTATCTTATACAATTAAATTGACTTTGTGCA